GTAACACTAGTGCAGATTGAGATATGTACTTACAAGATCATGGTGATAATAATGTTACATGCTGGGTCCATTATGAGTCTATGTCATCGTCCGAGTCCGGAAATTCCAAATAGTCCAGCGCTTTCGGCCTTGGCCTACCAATACTTTCCTCCTGCCAGCTCTTGCGCATACGAGGCGGATGTGGCTTCCAGCCCGGCTGACGTCCCGACGCTCCCGCTCCACTTCCCGACCCCGTCGCCGGCGCGGACTTTCTTCCTGACGGACCTCCTGTCTGCACCTTATCGCGTCGGATGACAGGCTTTTTTGCAGTAACCGGCTTGGACTTCAAGCGCGGGCCGGGAAGCGCCTCTTCTATCCAACCTGACATGATGGGCGTGGCGGGTGGCGCAGTAGGAGGGACAGGTGGTTCTCGGGATCGCCGGGTCTGCTTTTTCTCGACAGAAGACTCCGGCGCAGAACCGTCTGTGTCAGTGACAGCGCGTTTGCGCTTCAGGCCATGCGCTGAGGACGACATGGCCTTCTCAGGCATGCCCTGCGCCGACAGTGATCCAGCATCAGCACTTCCCGACCCACTACCCGACGCGCGTCCCGACCCGCTTCCCGACGCTTGTCCCGACCGGCTACCCGACGCGGATCCCGACGGCCCCGACTCCGTGGCGTTGCGCAACGATATGTCTTCCGCCTTGCGTTGAGAGTCGTCCGGTGGATGCGGGGGCTGGTACATGTTGCGCACGCTGTTAAGGCCAAATACCGGGCCATTAGGCGTCCCAGTATCATCGTTGGCAGAGGGGTTGAGGAATCCATTGACGGCTTGCAACTGTTCTTGTAATTCCCGAACGCGTCCTAAGTTCCGCGACGTCTTGGATGCGAGGTCCTGCGCAGCAACTACGCGTCGAGCGTTGTGAACGTGTCTTGTGTAGATTGAGGCGTGCGCCAACGCCATCTCAACGCCCAAGCTGTACATGTGGCGCGGTAGGGCCGGAACGGCATCGTCCTCGTGTGCCACCCGTCGTATGAACGAGTCAAACGATTCTATCAACCGTAAGTCTATGCTTGCACAAAACACTGCACTAACTCACTGATGTTTCCGTATGCCGCCCAAAATGCGGCGTCACTCGCGTGTAAAGGTTGCCCACCGTTGCGCTGTGTTGCAGGCAAGATATTAAGTTCCGGCGGCAGCGGGTAGTTGTACCGACGCCCCAAGATCCGTTCTAAGCCGTCTATCAGTCAATGGCCAAGCTCTAGTTTGAGTCAACGCACCAGTCGGCTCTTCAGCCCTCTCATTGTCTTCATTGCCGCGCACCTCAACTTCAACCCTCCTCATCCTTTTTACACGTTTCCGACCCTTCTGCCGATCCTCTCCGTCGGACTCCATTGTCAGGTCGACGTCGGGAGCCCTTCTCGTCGCCTTCGCCGGTTCCGGAACAGTCGGATCACGTTCTGGACTGCTTACGACGCTGATTGGGGACGCTTGGGGTCGTGGAGTAGGCTCTTTTGAAGCGGAAGGCGTTGTACGTGGAAGGGGAAGGCGAGATGGTGGAGATGTTTGGGTGGGTGCGTCTGGCGTCGTGTCCGGCGACGAGTCCGTGCTGGGGGGCGTCACTGGAGGCGCGGAGTGCAGAGAGGCCGCCCGCCCCTTCCCCTTGTCACTCCAAGGAATCCTGTCTTGTGCGTCGGGAAGTGGTGCATCGTCGGGAACGCTCGTGGGCTCGGGAGTCTTAGTAGCGTCGGGACGGGCGTCGGGAAGAGACGTGGGGTCGGGAAGCGTGGGATGCTGGGCTCCATGATTCTCGGAGGCTGGCGAGGGCTCGGCGTTGGGCTTGACAGTGGTAGAGTGAGGCCCAGGAGATG